ATAATGATGGTAGTAATTTATCACTTCAAAAACGTAGTAATAGTTATTATCAAGATATTCAACGATGAGTATTTTTTTTAATATAACAAAAAGCAATTAGTTTCTCCTCTATTTATATAAAGGCAATGTATATACCGTAAAACTTCTATTAGTGAACACCCCTCCTAAATGAACAACCGGTCTTACTGAACACCCTCAGGGACGCCCGAGCGAATTTTGCTGGTTTTGACCTCCTCCTGCATGAACACCCCTTCGTTCTGAATGTGAACGCATTTTTATAGTCCCGACTGTATATATCACCTTCAACAATGTGAACATCAATAGAGAGCGCTACTCGAATGAAAAAAACGATTGGTGCTACGAAGATGAGTAAGATGAATTCGATTAGCTCTATAATTTATCACGATAAAGAAGAGAGAAAGGATCATTATTTTCAATCGTTGTCAATATCGTCTATTAAATATAAAATATGGCATCCCGTCATGAACTTGATTTAGAACAAAAATGAATTTAATTCGGGATAAAGAAAATGGATTATCTCATCGTCAATTAAAAGAAAAATTTCAAGTATCATTAGGTTCCCTTATCAAACATATTGAAGAGAAAAAATGAGTATACACATGACTATGAAACAAATTGTAACAAGAAGTTGAAGAGGAAATTGAAAGATGATACTAGTCAAGTACTCAATGATACTGTGTACGAGTGGTTTGTCGCACAAAGATCGAAAAGAATTCCGGTTTCTGGTCCTATATTACAAGAATATGCAAGAAAAGTTGCTCTGGAATTAAATGATAAATCTGATTTTAAAGCAAGTAACGGATGGTTATATCGTTTCAGAGCTCGATACAATATCAAATTTCGAGCTATTTCTGGTGAATCAGCAGCTGTTGATCCTGATGCAGTTGACGATTGGAAGAGTCGTTTATCGTCAATGCTGAAAGATTATAATCCCGGTGATGTTTATAATTGTGACGAAACAGGATTATTTTTTAAATCAATGCCTGATAAATCATTTGTTCTTGATAATAATGATTGTAAAGGTGGTAAAAGGTCAAAAGAAAGGTATACAGTTCTTCTTTGTGCTAATTGGGCTGGTACAGACAAACTGAAACCAGGGGTTATAGGCAAGTAACCATTTGTTGTTCGCATTGATTTCTTTTACATTTTCCTTATTTTCAGGTAAAGCAGTTAAACTAAGATGTTTTAAAAACATGAATATGACAAAATTGCCTGTTACCTGCTTCAGCAATAGGACAGCCTGGATGAACAGCAGCATTTTCAGTACTTGATTACACGAGTTCGATACAATGATCGGCAAACAACAACGTAAAATTGTGTTGTTCTTAGATAATGCACCTGTACATCCACCTGATATTAAGTTAGACAATATTACCCTCAAATTCTTTCCAAGTAATACGACAGCTCTTATTCAATCCATGGATCAAGGGGTAATTCGCACCATTAAAGCCTATTATTGTCGACAGTTAGTTCAACATATCATAACAAATTCTAATCACGCTTATTCAGCTGATGATATTGTTGTCACGGCTTTAGACGCTGTTTGTTGGATCGATTTCGCATGGAGATCCATCACCGAATCAACTTTACGGAACACATTTAAGGCAGCTGGATTCGAGATTCCTGTTGTTTTATCAGAACCAACATCGAGTAAAACAACATTTATTGATGAAGATGTTGTTGTACAACAAAATGTGTGCTTAAATGAGCTTGATAGAGTACTTAATCATTTGACTATTGGTGGTAAGACTATGTCAGCTAGTGATTTTGTAGTGAGTGTCCAATAATCACTTTGGAAGCTATAATTGCAAATTCTTAATAATTTTACTCTTCAATATTATAGACCGTGGACGACAATGTACCAGTATTCAATGAGTGGAACGATGATATTGAGAAGATTTTATCTTTCGATGGTGTTTTAGCAGAAGATCCACCTCAAGATGAACAATTAGATCCTGAGACAGTACCAGCATTATCCGAAGTACTCAAGATGATGCGTCAGTTACACTTACTATCAACTGCGCAATATCCTGAATTACATCCATTCGTCATACAACTTGAATCGAAGCTGATCAATGTGTTTCTGGATTCCAGTGTTTCACAACAACGTTCTATTCGTGACTGCTTCAAACCTATCTAGTAGAACATCGTGGTGATATTTGAAAATGATATGATTATAAATATCTAAATTATTTGGAATAAAATACTATTGAATAAAATAAAAAGAAGTGCTTCAAGTGACGCAGAATGTGATAAATCTAATCACTTCATTGCTTTTGTTTACACCCCTCCTGTCTGATCGCCCTGTTATACTGAACGATTTTCGTCAGTCCCGACAGTGTTCACATTAGAGAAGTTTTACTGTATATATTTATATCTATATTGACATATAATTTTTTTTTCTTCTATTGAATAACCAATTTGGTGCTTTCATTATTCTTTTTTGTTTCGATTTTTTATGTTATTGCTTTATTTAAAAATAAGAATAAATGTTTTCATTTTGATACTTTAAGTCTAATTATACACTCATTTTATCTTATTGAATGAAATTTATTTAGAATCATATTTAGCCTTTTAATTAGAATAAAAGAAATAGATATATTGAATCTGAATAGGAAAAAACAATTTTGAAATGAAATCAATCGTTGAACTTTGGAAACGGATATCAATAAGAAGAAAAGAATTTTATTGCGTGTTTATTTATTGAAAAGAAACAAAAATGTGGTGGTGCGTGGATGTGAGTGTGGATGTGCTTACACGTGGGTTCTCACTTCCCTTCAACTGCCATTCACATCCATACGCATACGGATACCCATACCCACACCCACACCTGCACCAGAGCTTCATTCTGCTAATAGTTTAACACATCGCACGAAGTGTTGGTGGATTGGTGATTTCATCAAAAAAATTTCAGTGTCTCTTCTTTATTCTATTCGTAGTTTTTGCATTTATTCTGAAGTGGAGTCAGAAATATTGCATCATAGAATGAACTCAACGTTTATATATTTGAAACACCTTATATGGTTACAGTCTCCCTCCTGCCCATCTGAAATCGATAATAAAAATGGTAAGCTACTAGTGTACTGCGTGATCATTAAAATCACGGTCACGATCACGGTCACGCGTGACCGTGATCGTGCGTGATTAGAATCCTTTTTCGTGATCGTGATCGTGATCACAATAAAAAAATCTGTAATCACGACTTTACTTTTAAGTTCAAAATCTGAAGCATTTATTTAGCATCTTAACGTTCACATTGAAATTAGAAAACTATCTGATATTTAGAATAAATTATTACAAAAAAAAAATAAAACATACAATTAAATTTAAAAACAACATGGTTGTTCATATGATACTTGTAACCAAAAAAAGCAATAGTTCATATACTGCTTTTAACAAAAAAAAAATACATCTACTAGCTGGATATAATATAAATAGAAAGAATCGAAACATGTTAAAGTCACTTCACTAAATAAGTTCTTCAATTTCTTCACTTTCAGTATGAATTAAGTGTTCATTTTTAATTTGATAATTGTTCGAAAGCTCATTTGTTTTTTGTCTCTTTGAAATTGATTCATTATTTAAAGACACTGTATGTTGTTTTTGTTTTGTATCTTGATCATCTGGTGTTGGAAAAGAATTACCACCAAATTTTTCTTTTAAAATATTCATGTTCTTTTGCAAAAACATGATTTTATTTAATTTTTCACCACCAAGTCTTGTTCGTTTATCGGTTATTGTATTCTTACATGTTGAAAATAAACGCTCAATAGATGTGTTGGAAGCTGGAATTGCGAATATTCTTCGAGAAATATATGCAACTGTTGGATATAAATGTTCATTTTGTTTCCAATATGAAAGAACATCATCATTTTCTTCTTCTTTTAGAACACATATTGATGCAAGATATAATTCTAATTCTTGCTCAATGTTTGTTTTAATTGGCATTTCAATTGGTTTATCATAGATTTCTAATAATAAGCGTTTTCGTGCAGAAGATGAATTAGTATTTATAGATGATGAAGAAGACGAAGATAATGATGTAGATGTTGATAATGTTGTTGGTGGCGATGATGAATATGCAACAGTTGATGTATTTGTTGATAAAACATGTTGACATTTAAACATTTTTTCTTTTAATAAAGATATTGCACGATCTTTCAGATGAGGACACATCTGAAAATGTTTAAGTTGGGGTGCATTAAAGTGACAATAAGATGGTCATCTGATATTTGCCATTTTTCATCTAATCGTTTACCTAAAGCAAAAAAAGTTTGAAAAAATTTAGATTAATCATGTCTAAAATTTCATACCCAAAAAATGCTTTACTTGTTTTAAACCTTCTAATTCATCACCATTAATACAACATTTGTTAATCAATAGCTGTTTCAATGGTAAAACACGATGAAGTGTTGATCGTTTACTGTCACTTAAAATTTCAAAAGCAGTATCAAATGTAGATAAGAATTCACAAATATCATCTAAAAGATTTTTATCAATTGTCGCATATGTTAATAATAATCGTGAATCAAGAATATTAGCTAATTCATTAAAAACTTCATTAAATACAATTAAAATTTCATAAGCACCACTAAAACGAGTATCCGAATAAAGAATTCATTTTTTTGATAACTTCTGTTGTTTATGCATACGTCGCACTGTTGCAACAATATGTTTTGTATCATTAAACATATTTTGTGCTAATTCGCAATTAACTGGTTCTTTATCAATTTCCGTTGAAGTGAAAGCATGCTGCAACTGTTTGTTGACGTAATGACTACTACAGCCTATTCTTGTACAATTTAAACTAAAAATGCATTTCATCAATGGTTCATTGTCAGTCATAACGAATTTGTCTTTGTCCAACTTTAGACCAAAATCATTTAATATTTCGTCAATATAAGCTCGAACTGTTGGTGCTCGTTTATTTTCCATGCCATATGGATGACAACCAAGTAAATATGTTTCTAATTGATATTTTGTATTAACATGATTAAGTAATAAACCACAATATGATATACCTTTTCGAAAAAAAGCAAATATATTCATGTTATACATCAGTGTATTATCGGTGTAAGATTCAGACCAAAAATCCACAACGATGCAATAACTATCCATAGATTGACATATTTTTATTAATTGTTTTCTTTGATGAGCATGCATTCGATCAATATACCTACTAACCTAAAAGAATTAAACAGTTATTTCGTCCTTTCAACAGATATTACTAACCGTAGTTGGATCCGGTAAAAGTTCTTCAACTGCTATATGACTTGATGATGACATAACTCTACCAGCATTAAACAATTGTTTGGCCAAAGAAATAAAACCTTCATCTTGTCCTAAACGAAAAGCTCGACCATCTTGAACCACAAATTCAATATAACAAGACGTCATGGCATTTTTTACTTGTTTTGGTATCTTTTTTTCTCCATTTGACTTGTAATAATGGTTAATTTTTTGTTGATGACTAACTGGATTAAAATTTTCCTTTTTGGATTGGCAAGAACGAGAAAGAACTTGCATACATCCAGATCCAGTAGACGATTTATAAACAAGTATTGATTTACAATTATCACAAATAATAAAATTTTGTTTGAGATTATTTACATAGATTTGACTGAATTCAGACCAATAGTTCGACATCGTACTAGTTTCTTCAGGTTTGGTGTATGATATTGATGGATCATTTTGTTGAACAAGAACTTCAATATCTTTTTTATTTAATTGAGATTTATTTGTAATACTCATTCTGAAAAAAAATGAAGCGAAAGCACGACTGCTACTATCTTTTTCTACTTTGTGCTGATAGTATCCAATAAGAAGTATTAGATAGATGGCACAATCGAACTATGAAAATTTTTTATATCGCAACATTATCAAAAATCTATTATCGTGATTGCCGTGACTGTGATCGTGTTACTAGCTGAAATAACAGTTGGTGATCGTGATTTACAAACTTCTTTTCTCCGTGGTCGTGATCAAAAAAATCAATCACGCAGTACACTATAAGCTACTCATCGTTGGTTTCTTTTTTCACTGGGAAAAAACCCATAGCAAAAAATGGAGCATGCATACGGCAAGCACATCTTGTACATAGAATGATATGCATATTAGTGTATAGAAAAAAAGAAGACACCAAAATAAAAA